TAAAGTGTAGTCCTAATCGTAAGTTTTTGGTAACGTTGAGTGAGAAAGATAACTCTATTGCTGGATGGACAATTAATCTTGAAAAAGGAACAATTCAACAAGATGGCCAAGATAATCATTTTAAAATACATCAACCTCAACTTCATCTAGCAGATGTTTCAGATAATAAATATATACTTGGTTATATTAGTAAGTAAATGTGATTATTTATTATGCATATTACATTATTTATAAGCAAAATAATAATAAAAGTTTGCATCATTTAAACTAATTTTATATAGGCTTAATTGACTTTTCAAAAAAAAAAGAATATAATTGTAAACATAAATATGGTGTAAGGGGTTTCGTTACAAATAATGATTTTATAGCAGAAAGTTGTGATTATTTATACGAGTTTTCATATAATGAAAATACTCCATATAATGAAGCTACTCCATATAATGAAGCTACTCCGTATAATTATGATATTCCATATACTACTTCATCTAATAAAAAGAATAAATTGACACATGAATCACAACATCGCATTTATGGTTATTATGGACGTTTTCAAGATAAGATAGATTTTTTTGTAAATTCTGATTATGTTCTATTAAGTGATGAGTTTTCATTATTATCACTATGGAAATGGAAACCAACAACTATATCATATCAAGATAGTTATTATTTATTATGTAAAGAAGAGCATACAGATATAATATTTAATCAAGACAAAACAATAATGGCATTATATTATAAAAGTACTTCAAAAATAATAGTTTATTCAATAAAACATAATATCATTATTTCTTCACGTAAGTATTATTTAGCTTTATTTATTTATTTGTTTATTTGTTTATTTGTTTATTATATATACTATATTTACTTTATCTATTTTTTATCTTACAGTTGAATTGGAAAAAGATATCACTGTTAAAAAATTAGATTTTATTTATATAAAAAGTCAATTAGAATGTTTATTATTAATATTGCATGATATAAATACAAATAATTACATTTATAAAATAACAGATCCTTATAATTTAGATAACTCTATAGAAAACACATATGAAGATAAAAATAATATCATATTTGGACCAACCATACCAGATAATAAAATAGTAATGGCTATTAACAATCAAATTTACATTAAAGAATTTATTAACAAAGAAAAATTAGTTGCTGTTCAACAAATATATATAAAAAATAGGCATCATTTATATTTATATATAGGACAAACATTAATTGAAATATATGAAATACTTGACAAGGGTTATAAAAAACCAAAAGGATCTGATATTAAAGTTATTAAAACAGGAAAAACTATTAAATGGTCAATAACTTATAATATGTTTTCTGAAGATATCAGTATAGAAGCTCAAAAAATTGATAATGAAATAAAAGGAGAACTTTCAGCAGTTGATAAATATGGTTTTAAGAGCAAGGAAAAATTTAAATATTGTCAATTACTAAATAATGATGATTTAATTTTAATAACAACTAAATATATACACATTTTGTCATTTAATAATCAAAGTTCTAAAATATTCACAAAGTATATTAAAAAAGAAGAAGTTAAAGTTTTCAGAGGAGAGGGTTATGTTAAACTTGCAAAAGAAATATCAAAAAAAATCAAAACAGCTATAGACAATAATAATATTGAAGACTATTTATTTAATTTTGGTGATGTTGCTGAAAAGGATTATTCATATATTGATAAAGATAAAACTTCCAGACACCCTTATAAAGAAATGGTTTTATATATGTTGGATGATTTTTATAATTTCAAATATGGAGAAAAATTTTTAAAATTAGCATTAAATGCAAATGATAGTATAGTTGTAGAAAAATTATTTGATACCTGCCTTGAATATTTTAAAAAAGATATTGCAACAAATATGAGTTTATTAAAAATAATTATATCAGAATTACCAAGATTACAAAAAAATCATCAAAAATTATCAAAATTCCTTTATCAAACTTCAATGATGTTATTTCCATTTAATGATAATACTTATTATAGTAAAATTGTTTATAATCCAATGATTAATGAAAATTTTATTTATAAAAAGGGAAGTCTTTGGAATTTTTTTTTTAAAAGCTTTTTATACAACAAATACAAAAATTACAATAAAAATGGTTCCAAAAATTGTGTGAAATTGATAATTCCATATGCTGGATTACTTACATATAAACCAAAATATTCATTATTGAAAGAATTATTATATAAGCCAGATATTAGCATATTTGTTGAATTGGTTGAATTGGATACTTTGGAATTATACAAGCATTTGAATATTGAACTAATTTTGGATCATAAATGGGACACTTTTGGATTCAAATATTATATTGGAATATTGATTTTTTATATGGCATTTTTATTAAGCTTTGCTATTGCAACTTCTCTTTCACCAGATCAGTTATCTGATAATAATAGAAATTCATTATTAACGACATCAATTGTCCTTGGAGCAATTCATCTCATAGTAGAAGTTAGACAATTTATCTGGAAACCATTGAAATATACCAAAGATATCTGGAATTACTTTGGTGTGATGTTATTTCATTATCATCATTTTATTATTTGTTAATTAATTGATTGATTTTTAATAATAATAATAATATTTATTTAATTAATAGACCTAGGTGCCTATTTCTTGGCAATTGTTACTTCAATCCTATGGTTGTATTATAATAATCCACCACTTGTTCAACTGATTTCTGCATCAAATTTATTACTAGATTTAAGATTAATATTATTTTTAAGAGTTTTTAAACATTTTGGAGTATATTTTGCCATTATTATAGGAGTTGCTAAAAAAGTCTTTTGGTTCTTGGTTATAATATTTATAATCATTTTAAGCTTTTCACATGCATTTTTTTTATTGTTGACACAAAGTCGAGATGATACTTCTACATTAGACAGCCCTGTTTCCAACGATGATCCCAACAATCCTTGGAACCTTGTTAATAAATATTATATATATTTTGCAAACAATGATACATATAATCAAGATTTATATCTCGTACAACAACCAGATGGCAATACAAATATGTTTTTACAATTCCCTTCCTCAATTCTGGCAACGTATAATTTCCTTACAGGTAGTAACTATATACTGTATATTTCATCAAAATAATAATCAAGTTAAATAATTTAATTTTATTGATTGGTTTTTTTTTATTAGGAGATAACGGAGCATTTGGATCTTGGGTGTGGCAAGATAATAAATATCTTACAGTAGTAGTTGTTGCATTTTCATTCATAGTTGTGGTATACCTAATGAATCTATTCATTGGTTTGCTTAGTAATGAAATTGAAAATTATAATACAAAAGAAGCATTTTTTGCTCAAAAAGCAAAAATTATCACAGAGATTGAATTATTTTATTTATTTCCTAATCAACGTCGTTGGAGAAACTGGTTTCCAGATATATTGTAAATATAACAATGATCAATCAATTAATCAATTATTAAATCATTTTGATAAATTCCCTTTTAACAATTATTTAAAAAAAAATTTTTTTTTTTTATTAGACACTATGATGCACCAATTGATGATATTCATAGAAAGATCAATGAAGCCGATAATAGCAATGAGGGCGAAGAATATCTCCCATATATTTCTGATAATCTTAGACAACTTGCTGGAGTGTCCGAAAAAACAGAAGCTGGTTTTGATTCAAGATTTCAACAAATTGAAGACAACTTTGAAAAAAGTCTGAATGAAATAAAAAATAGTATTGAAAATAATATGAAGGAAATGGAAAATCGTAATAATGATCAAATGCAAATTTTGTTGAATGAAATTAAAAACTTGAAAAAAAATTAAATTTATTATTTTATTTTATTTTATTTTTTGTTATTATTTATTTTATTTTAATTACTTTTTTAGAAAACTATTTTAAATTTTTATTTTAACATTTTTGAATAATAATAAAATTGAAATTCTAGAATCGGAAAATTTTTCAATATTTATTTTTGAAAAAGATTAATAATCGCAAGTATAAAATACAATCAATAGATCAATCAATCTTAAAAAACTTGCACAAAAAGGTAAATAGAAATATCTTTGGAGGGTCCACCAGATAAATAATAGTACATATATGTTATTCAGAATTCATTAAAAAGGTGAATTTATAAAATCTTTCTTGACTGTTATTGTAGAAAAAAACCTATGATGACATTATTACCACTGATTACTGCATTTCAAAAGTTGTTTTTTTTAAAACTGAGTTTCGGAACTTTAGTCTAATATTAGACAAAGCATTAGAATAAATTGCACAATTATAATTGTCATTGTTGTTATTCTTTTCTACCTTAATGAAGGTGCATCCGAGCTACTTATTCATTCTTCAACGGGTCGTTAGCAATTTAGATTGATCAAACATTTGTTTCGATACAAATTAACCAAGTATACCAAATACTTGATATACGATAAATCTATCCTCCCAGGGAAAGCATCAGTCGTAAAATCGGGTTGTCGTATAGTAATAAAATTAAAACCTGCCTCAGATACAAAGTCGTAACTAATCATCCTTAATGTCAAGCCAAAAATTGTTAAATGAGGTCTCTTATCCACCGGCGGACTGGTTTAGTGATTTGAAATCGGATTCCTAGTTAAAAGACTGGTGATTCGCAATCGTATGAAGTTCCCTTTCTCTATAATGGCCATCCGACTTAGGAAAAAATGTCTGTTATAAGATATAGACAGTAATGATTTATATATCAAACATAAAAATTGGGCACAAAATTCACAGTGCCGTTATAGAGAGAATATATATAGCATTTCTCGACTTCCATGATTACCAGAATTGTCACTTGCGATCACATATTAATATCTTGTTTACCTGGCACAGTTTTTTTTTTGAATAGATTACACGAATGGTTAGTTAGTCCAAATGTAGAGAGTAACGGCATTTTGACAAGAATCAACAAATTAAAATGGACCAATTTTAAACAGCATCTATTTCTTTAGTACATCACTTGTTGTTCCCAAGAAACTAGTTGTAATCGTTTTTTCACATCCATGTAATTTTCAGCCAGTCTTCTTTCTCTTCGATTGGTCCAATTCCTTCGACTTCTTCCTCGTATCTGGCATATTCCTTATTTAGCTCATGATGACTTTTTGTTCCGTGTTCTATTATTATTAAAGAGAACTATAGACAATTTTTGTCTTTGTCAATTAATTAAAATTAATTATATTTAAAATTAGTTATTGTATATGTTAATAAGGAAATGGAATACGGAATAAATAGATAAAATAAAAAATGTTGTGCGCCAATTTAAAAATTCACGCACGTGATATTAAAGTTAGCCAATCAGAATTTTGTATTCAAAAACCCACTCAAAAATTTAATTAATAAAATTTCAAATTGACGCAAATTTGATTTCCACGCAAATACCTGTATTACTATATATATATTATTATTATTATTACCTGTTACTACCATCCATTACTATTGATATTACTATGTTTACTATTATTATTTATTCTGAAACAATATAAATTTCATATTGTTATGTACCAAGACGATCCTCACCCAAACATTATACAAGCAAGGGATTGATTTTGAAGAAACGTGGTGGTGGAGGCAGTAATAGGTTTAGTAAAAAAGCAGTATTTCGAGTAGTACATAGACTTTACTTTTTTTTATTGGTAATAATCAAAATTCGTAAGTGTGCCTCGCAATCCTTATGATGATGATGATGACCACATATTGCCTTAGATTAGGTATATAATAAATAAATAACAATAATAATTACGTATTTACAAGCCGTGATTTCCACACTGACCAATATAGTAACGGTAGAAAGGTGGTATGATGATGAGTCAGAAGGAAAGATTTTGTTTCCAATACGAGAATTGATAGCGTAATTATTCAGGTCCCTGATCCGATAAACGTAAAGCCACTTATGCAATAATAAAAGTAATAAAGCGTTACTACTTATTTTGGAATTCAATCGCTACTAAAAGAAAGTATATGGATATAAAGCTTTATTTACAATAAGATAAAATTTTGATATGACGTGGAAAATAAAATTTCATTGAATTTCAAACACACAAATACTCCCAAAGTCAAAAATCTTTAGTTTCTCATCTTGATCTCCAATCAGCTGGCCATCACCGGTAAATTTTCTTATCTGGTTTTTAGATAGTGGAAAAAGAAAGATTCTGTGGATTTTTTGATTCACTGCAGATCATCATCAAATAAAAAAAGAAATTATCCCGTTGTGATCTCGCTCATTTCACTCCGTTCATAATATACGAGTTATATATGTATCTGATTAATAATAGTTTTATGCATTTTAAATTCGTTTTGTGTGCCAAAAACTAGTGACAACGTAATTACCCATTTAAATTATAATTAGTTGATTACTAGTGAAAATAATAATAATAATAGTATATATTGAGACGTTTCATGTACGCTACACAGTATCAATAATTATACATAAAAAAACGTGTCATTGTTTTTTTTCATTTTTCCCAAGTAAATAAATAATTCAATTGCTACAACCAAACAAACAACATAAATAAATAAATAAACAATTATCGGAAAAAAGTATAAAAATATCTTATTTGCGTGGTTATTGGTACTATTTAATATTATTAATCGATTTATTAGATTTATGAAAAGCATAATAATCTAAGGTTATTATTGTGTTTCTAAATTTTTAAATCGTTTATACAATTTATACAAACAACCGAAATATTTATTATACATACATAAATATTTACTTTTGACTAATCCTGTCATTATCGAGCATATATATAAACAACATTTTAAAATCTTGTCATTTTATTTTTATTTTTATTTTTCGTTCCACTCCACTCCACTTCACTCCACCATTTATCTCCAACAATCATTTGTGCTTTTTTACAATATTAACATTCATATCATATCCTACTTTCATTAACGAACGAAAAAAAAAATATGACAAATAATGGTATTAGCGCAGGACGCCATAATATTTTATTCTCTCCATTTAGCTTCGCTACCATTATCATTAACGTTAATAATAGCATATTTTAAACGATTTCCAACAATCTCGATATTATCATTCACTTCATTCTTACTATCACTTAATTTCGTCTTAACAGGAGTTTTAAACATTAATGATTTTATAATTATCAATAACGACAACAACAACGGCAGTGGTGTTGGTGGTTGTGGTGGTAGTGATGCCGGTACAATAAATTGTTTAATCAATGGTACTATAACAATCTATTTTACTTGTTCATTGGCAGTTTGGTTTATTTGTATTGAAATTGAAATTTGGCTGAAACTTAGGCAAAAGAACCAAATTCAACAACAACAACATGACATTGAGATTAACAACCGGAATAATGATGATGATGATGATGATGATAATAATAATAATAATAATAATAATAATAATAATAATAATAAGATTAATAATAAAATATTGATTATTTGCAATATAATTGGTTGGGGAATTCCTTTAGTTCTAACAACTACCTTTGTCTTGGTTACACGTTATTTAAATATTTATGGATTTGTGCATTGGAAATTTCATTATTTCATATCAACACCAGTGATTCCTTTGTAAGTTCATATGTTAATATGTTATTATTCTGTGAAACTGTTATCATTCATTTTCTCGATTTTGGCTAATTATATATATAATTATATATATTTTTAAAAAATTCGTTCAGCTTTTATTTTATAATAATAGCGATAGCGCTTGCAATTATAATTTTATCAGGTAAAGTTTCAATTAACATTAGGCATTTTTATGACGAGTTATGTACTCTTTAAAAATTATTGTATTTATCATTAATTCGTTCATCTATTGATTTAAAAAATTATTAGTAAAGAATCTATTTTCAATGATCAAATATTACAAATCATGGAACAACAATAATAATATCAATATATTGACGATGGAAATTATTGATCGAGCAATAATATGCGGTTTAATAATATCAGTTCCTTTATTGGTTACTTCTGGTAATTTTTTATTTTTTTTTATTTTTTTTTAAATTATCCTTCTCCTTCTCGTAAAACTAACGATTTTCTTTATTAACAATGACACACACAGCTAGCAGATTAATACCATTTTTCCAAAATAAAGGTTTAATTTATGATGACATTTGGCCAGAGTTTATGATGACCGCAATTCCATTTATAACTTTTATAACATTTGGAACAACTTCAGCAATAAGAAGGCAGTTTTTTATTTCAATAGTTTCATTAATACCTTGTAAAATACGAAAGGGAGTAGATGGAAATAGTATTAGGAATTATAATAATATTAATAATAATCTCAATAATATTTTTCCAAGATTGCCAACATCGTCGCCAAAAACACCATCATCTGTTCTTACAAAAACACCAAATTCAATAACTTTTCCATTATCATTTAATAATCATGACTACAATTATAATAGTAACAACAATTACAACAATTACAACGATCACAATAACGACAATAATCCATCAACTATGGTTACGTCAACATTCAGTAATCGAGTTAACGCAACGACGGATCCATTTATTAATCGTCGTAAACAACCACCTTTACAATTAAACATCCATCAGAATAATCGCAGTGGTGGAAGCAGTAGCAGTAACAACAATAATATTAGTCGCGTTGATAGTACCTCTAAAAGAATCGATAAAAATGCAATATCAAAAAGAGACTACGACCATTCAAGTTTATTGGCAAGAGCGATGTCAGGAAAATCTATTTTGAAACTTATCGATGATATGGATGATGAATTGAAAGAAAGGAATGAAAAGTTAAGAGCTCTTTTAAGAATTGATGATAGCGACAATAACGACGACGACGACAACAACAGTTTCCGTCGCCGCCGCCGTCGTCGTCGTCGTCTTAATCAATTTTCTTTATCTTCATCAAGATCATCATTTTCGTCAACTTCTAGCAGAAATAATGGCAATAAACGACCAAACTTCTTTACTTTTTTCTTTGAAAAACAACCAAAATCTGAACAAACAATAGACTTACAATATAATTATAATCCTAATAACAATAACAATATTAACAATATTAATACTAAACACGACAAACAACAACAAGCATTGAAAAGTCATAATAATAATTTTAGCAGTGGCAGCGGCAGCAAGAACGGTGATGACAATAATACAAATGCTACTTTTCCTAATAACAATAATAATAATGGTGCAATGAAAATATTAACTGAAGGCACTACTTTTAAAATAGTTGATAATTCACGACAATCCTCACCTGAAGCTATAATACAAATACCAACAATTAATATTACAAAAGTACCCGATATTAACCATGAAGATCAAGAGATTATTCTAGGTATCCCTAGCAATAAATCAAAATTGGTTTATTCTCCCTTAATGGCTCCTCCTCCACATCTTATTGCTAATACTATCAATAATAATAATAATAATAATAGTAGTAGTAGTAGCAGCAGCAGTCAATTAATTATTGATCGACCTCCAAGTTTTTATTTTTTGAATGATGAAAATGCGTTTGGTAAAAGCAGAACTAGTAGCAGAAATAGCGGCAACAGAACCAGTGTCAGAACTATCAGTAATAGTAGCCAACGATATAATTCACAATACTCTGATAAATATTCACTTTATAGTAATGATGGTAGCAGAAATAGTTTTAGATCAACCTCCTCTTTTATTAGCTATAATGGTAGTGGAAATAATTTGCCGTCAACGCCTTCTTTTGGACCTCCTAAAAGAATCCAATCCAGTCTTAGAATTCAAGTTAACATTAATGATACTGACAGCCAACTTTCATCGACACCAACATCTTTAACGCCGCGAACAAACACCTTCAATGCTGACAAGTCAAAAAACAAATAATTAATACCAATATCATATATATAATTTATAATAGTAGAAATTAGATGTAAAATTTTATTATTTCATTGTTTTATCAATTATGTATCTATAATTTACAATAAAAAAAATGATTATTTGTAAATATTACATTATTAGAAATTAATGAAAGTCTTTTTAAGTTTCAAAAACCCTTAAATAATAAAAATTGAACTATCTGATTATAATAATATATACAATTAATATTAATACTAACCATTTTCGATATTAAAAATTTTGGTGGGAAATTCCCCAATTGGCTGTAATAATGATATTCTTACTAATACTAATATTAATGTCTTCTTTGTCCCTTTAACAGCGACTATATAGTTAATTGAAGAGGTGGTGCTAGTAAGAAAAAGAAAAATTACTTGTTAAAAATTTTATGAGATTGAAAAATTTAAGGAGAAAAAAGAAAAAAAAGGCGGTGATAAATAAATACACAGAGATGGGGATAGTTTATATAACACTCCCTTCCCTTAATGATGATTTACTATTGGCTTTTTAAAAAACAATTTACTCATGTTATGGTGCAGATCATATATAATCAATTACAGTCAACCCCCTCTTCTAAGTGCACCCTCCTTGGGAACATATCACTATTTCTCATAAACGTGTATTTAGAGAGGGTATGCGTTGAGAGGGGAATGAGACATGGCGTGCATTTAGAGTTTACATAGTGAGTGCATTTAGAGAGGGTACACTTAGAGGGGTTGACTGTAATTGCTTAAACATATAATAAAAGTTCCTTTACAATAAAAAAGTTTTTTAACTAAATTAAGAATAAGTTTGTTTTAGCCATTGTCTCTCTAATGCATAATGAATGTTAAGTAAAAAGAATACTTTCTCGGCCATTTAAAACCAATATGTATCCTGTCGATCAATGCTTTCCCATTTTTAATTAGCGTATTTTAATGATTATATATACAAAAAAGATTATATTATTTTTTAATTAAAAAAAAAAATTATATTTATATATTGAAAATAATATAGTATTAAAAAATAAATTGTAACCATTTAAAATTAATTTTAAAATATGAATCAACATGTGACATACAACACATTTATTTACTTTGTTGATCAGTTCCAGTCTAATCCAATTTCCAACAATGAGTATGATGAATAAAAAAAATAAAGTTTATTAATTAATCTTGCTTGATGTTTAAATGCTCTTTTCTAACATCATTACAAGCAGTGTTTTTTCTTCTTGCTCTTACTCGGATCTTGCTATTTTATTATTTAGTTCTTAATTAATTAACTGCGTATAATGTAGAAGATATCCATCATCACTCACTTCATGTGCTGGCTTGTGAGCAGTTTTAATTATATTTATGATATTTGTAAAAAAACACAATACACAAAAATTATTTTTA